AAATTTCAATAACTCAATTGAATGGTCAAATGATATCGGATTCAAGTGATTTTTTGTAGAGATGATCTTTGAATGTGTATCTACAAAATAGACGGGTTGGATTAGTGAAATACAATCCGGAGTGGGCCCTATAAGAGGTGTCCCTCAAATAAGGTTATTTGAGGGATCCCACAATGGAAGCTCTCTGATATATATATATAATTGTTGTATTAATAATTGACACAAATTAATGTGCTAATCATCCAATTATAAACTAGGAATGAGTAAAGAAAAGTAAATGAAATGAAACAAATTATATATGTGATTTAAGTGATATAATCATAATCCTAAACTCTTATTTATACATAATTATATATGTATGCGGGCCTAACGGGCCGGCATTTCTTGAGCTTAATCGGGCCGGGCCTATGGGTCGGGCCGGACTTCAGACACCCAAGCCCAAGCTTTGCCCGGCTCAAAACGGGCCGGGCCATCTCAAAGCCCATAACGGACCGGGCGGGCCCTCATCGGCCCACGAGCCTGCAGGCCAAATGATGAGGCCGCACACCCCATGGGCCGCCTCTGGTTTCCAGTACATACATATTAGCTTTGAACTTGCACAGACATATAAGTCGACTGTAACTAGGACTAAACAAAGAAACAGAACCAAGTTTAGATCCCTTTCTCAAACATATTTAGTGATTAAACCCATAGGTCCAAGATTCAACAGTCTTGAAAAACAAAATGGACAAACTGATGCTAACTTGTCCAATACTCTGAGTGTCCTTCAAACAAATCAGACAGTGATCTATTTGTACAAAGCCTCCTTAAATTGTTCTCGACCGTCTTCATGCTCACTCTGCCAATTGTCCATGATCCTTCCCCATGTCAACTCCAGACCCTGCTTCTTGGATTTCCCATACCCTAAGTCCTTCACTGCCTTGTTTATCTCCTCATTTCTATGAAATCAAGTTTGTACTTACCCTAATTATTAGTGCAGTTTATATGTCACAAAACAGAATATTGAGATGTTTTTATTATGGATTTCATTCTTTTGAGCCGTTTTATGAAATCAAATTGTTCGGGACTGTATGTATATAGTCACCTTCAGTTGAAGGATCTCAAATAGTGTTATTTGAGGAGGAGAATA